TGAACTTCCCCCAAAAACAAAGAGCAGCTTCTGAACACCAAACAGTTGCCCACTCTTGCTTTAAGACACCAAGCTATCTTGAGTTTTGCAGTATCAGATCTTTCTTTACTGGTTCTCTTCTAGGATAAGGGCTGCCATTCCCAGAGTGCATGCATGATGATCGGGAGTCAACTCACCTGTAAAAAGCACATCGCTTCCATCCAGGGTAGCTCCCTCATCTGTAACTTCCACCACACGAAGTTTTAGCTCCTCCAAGACCTTTTTGACACAGCTGATCTGTAAAAATGGCAGTGGAAGCAGGGGGTGGGGGGCAGGGGAGAGACATTTGCTATGGGTGGAGTTCTTACCTCAACTTTCCTCAGGTATTCTCATTCTTAATACCTCTTCAGGTAGGACTCAAATGAGGCCTCCATCAGATGGCTTCCCCACCACCATCCCAGTTTTCTATGATTATCATCAATATTTACTGTTAGTCAAACTTTCTCTGAGTTCTATATTAAGGAGCAATGTCCCCAATAGCCACCACACTGAAGAAATTGACCTCAAGGAGTTTCATCAAGGTTATCATAGGTATCCATGATATTTTTTAATACACTGAGTAGATCCTAACATGGACTTTGCCATGTGGAGACACTTAGCAGGTACTTGAGTTCCAGTTTAATTTGAATTAGTTGGACCATATCCAGACAGGTGAATCCTCATAATTCACATCTCTTATTAGACTCTTAGAAGTCAACAATTGCTACTATGTTTGTTTATACTATGGCACATGATTCTTGACAAAACAGTACAAGCAAAGAATGAGGAATCACCACCCCAAAGATACTACATTTTAACATTTCCACAAAGTGTGCATTACATACAGAATAACTTGAAGAGCAGTGGGGAAACATTTCAAAGAGAGAATGGGATTATGCAGTTGTATATTCTTTATAACCTTCCAGAGAGGTGAAGAAAAGTAAAGGGCAAAAATGGGCAACTTGTAGCCCTCCAGATCTGGCTGGACTACAAACTCTCATTATTCTTTGCCCCACTAGCTATGCTGACTAGGACTCATGGGAATTAGCACTGAGCAACATCTTGAAGGCCATGGGTTCTCCAGTTGTGGATTCCACATGTTGGAAAAACTGTACCATCCAAAAAGGGTGAGAGTTTCCATGTTGGGGAAAACATATAACTTCCATTTATAGCCCAACCAAATTTGCTACAAGGGATAGGAGAGTGGAAATTCTTTCATAACACATCCCTAAAAGAGAATGAGCTGGGAGCTTCAGAGTACTATATGTATTATTCAGGACTGAACAAGGAGAGAAGGAGGAGACCTCAAACAGTCCACCTATCCCCACCTCCTATTAACCTCTGTGGTTGCTACTCCTTCATAAAAGTGCAACTGTTGGTCAGTTTGTTATAGCATCAGTTAGTGCTCTGAAGGTAAAAGCAAATGCCCCTTTATGACCTTAAGTTCTTGGGGAACTTGAGATGGCCTAGGAAGAGGGGAGGAATGGACAATGGTGTTTCTCTTGTTCTCCCCTGAGAAAGTCCAGTCCATGCTCCTCAATGGCCTACTGATGATTCAGACAATTGATGGAGAAGAAGCTTTTCCCCCTCCCTTCCAAACCATATCCCATTCCAGACCAGGTCTCATCCCCACGTAAGGCAAGAATGCCAGAACCTAAAGTGTGATTTTGTGCATTGTTTTTCTAAGTCCTTCTTTTTATACATATACATAAGCTTGGAGGTTCCAACCCGCCTCTGAGAAAACAAAAATGAAATCACATGAATGACCTTTCACTTGATCTATTATTCTTTTGTTTCATCTTCATGCCACAGAGACGCCTGGGCTGTTCTAATTTTATCAATGACTCATCTCTTTCTCCCCCACTTTTTAATTTAATTTTCATGGATCTGGTAAGCTTCTGCTTTTGACAGCATTAATGGCTTTCCTTTGGAGCAAACGTAGCCTTCCTTTTGCTTCTCCACTTCAGCCTGTTATCCTTACAGTCTGGGAGACTTCATTTTTCAAGGAATATTTTAAAAAGAGTGTGTGCCACATAGATACCTCTCCAGAGCTGTAAATTCTGGCTCTACAGATACTCCATGATTCCTACAGTGCTGTGTTTCTCAACCTTGGCCACTTGAAGATGTCTGGATTTCAACTCCCAGAATTCCCCAGCCAGCATGGCTGGCTAGGGAATTCTGGGAGTTGA